TTTAGTCATCCGTCAACGCTTATGGCAAGGTATTAGAGCTTGATCCAAGCAGTGACTATGCTATATGCGTAAGTGCTCGCTTTTTCTTGAACTTGTAGATCTATTTGAACTTATTTTAGCTTATACAAGTCTTGATGAGAATGCATAATCTTGAAAGCGCTGCTGAACAGTGCGAACGTCGGCGCTCATTAGGGATTGAGAATACACACATAAAATGTGCTGTTGATCTGCTCGATGCTCAGGTTTGGCTTATTTGTTTGCGTAGTTTCATTGTCTTCATATCCATTGTTTAAGGTTCATTTACGATTGTTCGACAAAGGAGAGGATAAGCAGCGTTTCGAGCACTTGAAAGCTGTCTTCAAACTTGCTGGAAATGTAGTAGCAGCTCGACCTCGTATATCGTTGGCTTACAAGTTGCCAGCTGATGCACTGTTGCGAGTGATCAGATATCGTGACGATATCATGAAAAGCGTGGAGGTAAATAAAGTTATTTGTTTATTATGGTGCTTGACTGTTCTCCATGTTAAGATACCTGCAAGTTGGTCCGTTTCTGACCGTCTATCTGCAGTGCGGGTAGCAGTCAACTTCTACTCTGTTGCTTTGGACTTGAATAGGAAGAATGCTTGGGCTTGGTATGATCTGGCTATGGCTCTGCTCCAATTGGCTCATGTTGATAGCTCTGCTCAGCATGCGACAAAGTAAGTCAAAAGTTTTCCTATACTGTAATAGACCACAATAATTTGCACTATATGTGGCTCACGCTTTCCCTCAAACCGTCCGAATGCTTCTTATTCTTTTTCTTTCATTTTTTTCTTTCAACCACAGATGCTTTGTTAAACAAAGCCTGTATCTGATATTGTGACATTTGAGTGGAAGTTCTCAATTTTGTTTGGCGAATGTTAGAGCGTAGGCGTTCTGCTCTTCTTCTCGGTGTTATGCATCCTCTAAACAGATATAATTTGGTGCATGTTTTACCTACCTTTTGTTCGTTTCTTAGAAGGAACCTGCTTTTGGGTTAAGAAAGATACATGGTTTAAGTCTTTGAAATCCTTCTTTCCAGAGCATCGGATTGTTTGCGAAAAGGCATGACTATGACTAAATGCCCTCAAACGAAATCTACCTTCTGGACGCTTCTTGCCGAGGCGATGAGATTGTCCTCCATAGTCAGTGGTACATCGGAAACTGCGGAAAATTCCACAGCTCTGCAACAGCACTACCTTGTTCGAGAGTTACAGTTGAACAAAGAGAATGACGAAGCATGGCTACGTTTA